TACGATGCATGTACAGGTAGTATCACTGTTGCCAATCACTGGCAAGTTGTAGTTGCTGTGTGGTCACCAGGAACAGAGCTGAGCATTGGCTCAATTTCCTTCCGGCATTATCCGCCAGGTACCTCATGTATACTGGCACTGATTCATCTTTAGCCACTAGAAGGTGTAATAAAAATAATAATATTAACTGGTTTGAGGGAAAGAGACAAACGGGAAAAGTCTGAAGAAAAAATTGACTGTCACCACCAGGACTCGAACCAGCGACCCTCGCTTGTAGCCAACGATGCTCTAACCACCGAGCTTTGGTGTAGTCGTCGTCCCAGCAGAGACCGTTCAAAGTTTTCTTCAGACTTCGAAACTCACACTTCCTGTGAATCCACACAGGCGGGTGGGACGCAAATAATAATAATAATAATTTCAAATTTGTACTTAAATAATCGACGCGGAGACAACAATTTTACAATAGCTATAAAGAGAACAAGTTATGCTGTCATCGCCACACTACAACGAAGTCATGAAGGTTTACCAAAATCGATTTTCTTGTCACAATCATCAGTGGAAAGCCGTGACTGAAGAATAACCAAGCCAAATCAATAATTTATATACATTCAATAATGTTACAAGAACAAAACAAAGTGCTAAAAATAGAATGAGGGAAGGTGAGACAATAAAAGTAAAGTGAGAGCTAAGTGCAACAGGGGTGAGGAACGAATTGCAACGCTAGAACTGTGTAGTGAGAAAAACAATCATGCTGTGCACCTACGAAAACAATCTTAACGCAAGTACATGTTTCTTCTGCTTACAAAGATCAGGCTTATGCAAACGAATACAAACAGCCTCAAGTACTTTCAACTGACTAGCGTACCGTGCACGACAAAGAACAGAAAAACTAAAATCATCATACACCTGCAGACACTTAGGGTGAGACAACAGATGAAGAAAAACGGCAGACTTCTTACGATCACAATCACCATCCGATTCCTCACCGGTGAAGACACTGGGAACAGAAGATTTAGCAACAACAGGAACAACAACAATGACAACAACAACAATAGTAACAAATTACCATCAAGATCAAAGAAGGAGTCAACGAACAGAGGTTCAGCAAAGTGAAGCGAGCCTGGGACCGATCGGTGGTGATGAGGAGAATGACACGGAGTACGACACTGAGGACGAGTTGGAAGATGAGACGGGGGACGAGGTTGCGGTTGGTGGAGACGAGGAATCGGATGGTGATTATGATCGTAAGAAGTCTGCCGTTTTTCTTCGTCTGTTGTCTCACCCTAAGTGTCTGCAGGTGTATGATGATTTTAGTTTTTCTGTTCTCTGTCGTGCACGGTACGCTAGTCAGTTGAAAGTACTGGAGGCTGTTTGTATTCGTTTGCATAATCCTGATCTTTTTTAAGCAGAAGAAACACTCAACCTGCGGACAGAACTGTTTCGTCCTTTGTGGACTCGTCAGCGCAGCACAGAGGAAATGAGGCCGAAACTGATAGCAATGGAAATAAAAATTTCCAATCAGGTCCGAACGTACCTTGTCAGAGTGCTCAAACTGACAAGTCAGTGAGCTCTGCATAACGCAAACAGCAAAGGCACTACCCCACGCAAGAGTGCTCAACTGCTACAAGAGCAGGAGCGAAATACTCAATCTGCGGACAGAACTGTTTCGTCCTTTGTGGAATCGTCAGCGCAGCACAGAGGAAATGAGGCCGAACCTGATAGCAATGGAAATAAAAATTTCCAATCAGGTCCGAAGGTACCTTGTCAGAGTGCTCAAACTGACAAGTCAGTGAGCTCTGCATAACGCAAACAGCAAAGGCACTACCCCACGCAAGAGTGCTCAACTGCTACAAGAGCAGGAGCGAAATACTCAATCTGCGGACAGAACTGTTTCGTCCTTTGTGGACTCGTCAGCGCAGCACAGAGGAAATGAGGCCGAACCTGATAGCAATGGAAATAAAAATTTCCAATCAGGTCCGAACGTACCTTGCCAGAGTGCTCAAACTGACTAGTCAGTGAGCTCTGCATAACGCAAACAGCAAAGGCACTACCCCACGCAAGAGTGCTCAACTGCTACAAGAGCAGGAGCGAAATACTCAATCTGCGGGCAGAACTGTTTCGTCCTTTGTGGACTCGTCAGCGCAGCACAGAGGAAATGAGGCCGAACCTGATAGCAATGGAAATAAAAATTTCCAATCAGGTCCGAACGTACTTTGCCAGAGTGCTCAAACTGACAAGTCAGTGAGCTCTGCATAACGCAAACCGCAAAGGCACTACCCCACGCAAGAGTGCTCAACTGCTACAAGAGCAGGAGCGAAATACTCAATCTGCGGACAGAACTGTTTCGTCCTTTGTGGACTCGTCAGCGCAGCACAGAGGAAATGAGGCCGAACCTGATAGCAATGGAAATAAAAATTTCCAATCAGGTCCAAACGTACCTTGCCAGAGTGCTCAAACTGACAAGTCAGTGAGCTCTGCATAACGCAAACAGCAAAGGCACTACCCTACGCAAGAGTGCTCAACTGCTACAAGAGCAGGAGCGGAATACTCAATCTGCGGACAGAACTGTTTCGTCCTTTGTGGACTCGTCAGCGCAGCACAGAGGAAATGAGGTCGAACCTGATAGCAATGGAAATAAAAATCAGAAGAAATATGTAGTTGCGTTAACCCTTTAAGAGCCACAGGAAATTTTCAAAATTCTGCATTTTTTCGTGTTCCTCGGATCATAGCTTCAGTTCTACTCACTCAATCCTCACAATCTAGGACTTCCCGGAACGGTCTCCGCGAAAGGAAGAGCACGAGGTCGATCATGATAGCCAGCACACCGTCTATCCAGCGCAAGATCGCAGCGACAGTACGAAAAATGCCCCAAATGCGTCCAATTGCGTCCCGCTCCAGATATTTCATTTTACTCGATCGTGGAGTTCCAATTTTTTTGCTGTGTACTCTTGACAATATCAACAGTGAAACCCGTGCAAATTCGAGTAAACCAGCGTGACGAAAAGTCTCAAAATTCTCAATACTAAAGTTGCACTGCGCGCTTTTGAAATTGCCGCAATCGCGGCTCAACTTACGTGTGATTTATCTCAGGACCCGTTGTTCGCAGCGCTTCGCGGATTGGTTCTCCCGACAGGTGAGAGTTTTCTCTTCGCCCTGGATATTTCGATCGATGGATTTGAGCGAGATTGGACTGAGTTACGATCTTTTGAAGTTTTGCATTTGAATGCGTCGTTTACGACGCATTCAAGTATGGGGCGGCTCTTTCTTGGATTGTTTTCGTAGGTGCACAGCATGATTGTTTGTCTCACTACACAGTTCTGGCGTTGCAATTAGTTCCACACCCCTGTTGCACTTTGCTCTCACTTTACTTCTATTGTCTCACCTTCCCTCATTCTATTTTTAGCACTTTGTTTTGTTCTTGTAACACATTATTGAATGTATATAAATTATTGATGATTGTGACAAGAAAATCGATTTTGGTAAACCTTCATGACTTTGTTGTAGTGTGGCGATGACAGCAGAATTTGTTCTCTTAATAGCTTTTATAAAATTTGTACTTACCGGAGAATTTCAAAGTTTTTAGGAAAATAGAGGCCACATGCCACGTACTGTATTTTTCTCGCCGAAACTCAACACTTGCAAGCCAGGTATGAAAGAAAGAAAAAATCATCAGTCACACCACCGGGACTTGAACCAGGGGCCTTGCTATTCGCAAGCAATGCTCTAGCCAACCGAGCTCCAGTATGACTCTTATCCACAGTGATGGTAAATCTATCCTTCTGCGATCAATTCATATCTGGCTTGCATTATGCTGGCAACTCCCACCAATCAAGAGGGCCCTGGGACATTCGCTTGATATCCTGGGGAGCGCATCAAACTATGTCCACTGCGGGAAAATACAAATTGCAATTTCAAATTTGGACTTCACGGAGAATTTCAAAGTTTTTAGGAAATTAGAGACCACGTGCCACGCACTGCTTTTTCTCTCCGAAGCTCAACACTTGCAAGCAAGATATGAAAGAAAGAAAAAATCATCAGTCACACCACCGGGACTCCAAGCAGGGAGGGGCCTTGCTATTCGCGAGCAATGGCCTAACCAACTGAGCTACAGAATGCCTCTTATCCATAGTGATGGTAAATCTAACCTTCTTCGATCAATTCATATCTGGTTTGCATTATGCTGGAAACTGACACCAATCAAGAGGGCCCTCCGCCATTCGCTTGATATCATGGGGAGCGCATCAAACTATGTCCACTGCGAGCAAATACAAATTGCAATTTCAAATGTGGACTTCACGGAGAATTTTTCACTGATGATTTTTTTTCTTTCATATCTGACTTGCAAGTGTTGAGTTTCGGAGAGAAAAGAGCAGTACGTGGCATGTGGCCTCTAATTTGCTAACAACTTTGAAATTCTCCGTGAAGTCCAAATTTGAAATTGCAATTTGTATTTGCTCGCAGTGGACATAGTTTGATGCGCTCCCCATGATATCAAGCCATTGGCCCAGGGCCCTCTTGATAGGTCCGAGTTGCCAGCATGATGCAAGCCAGATACGAATTGATCGAAGACGGATAGATTTACCATCACTGTGGATAAGAGTCATACTGTAGCTCAGTTGGTTAGAGCATTGCTCGCGAATAACAAGGCCCCTGGTTCGAGTCCCGGTGGTGTGCTCTTTTGTACTCTATATTCTAGTCTTCTACCTCTTCTCCCCTATGAACATACTTTCTCATTTTCCATATTTAGTTAGGAGACTCCCTTCGATAGGCATCTGTCTGCCTCTGGAGGATCCGTGAAATTAAAATCAAGAAATCAATGATGGGGCGTTGATGGATCTGCCGCCTGAGGTCTCCGCAGCACGGCCAGATACACGCTGTTATAAGGGTATCATTCGCAAAGGGAAAAAACATGTATGTACATGTAGATGTATTGTTCAGTGGCATTCTGTGCGTGCTTCACTGTATTCTGTGCGTGCTTCACTGTGTTCTCTGCTTTATAGCGCCCTCAGGCATAGCTGTCAACTCAACGGACACTGGAATATATGCACGCATATTGCAGCCACAGATACTACGAGATTGGGTACCAGAATTCTGCTTTGTGTACGACAAAAATGACACTGTGGCTAAACCAACTGTAGTTTGTAACAATAACGAGTCAATCGTGTTGTCGGGCCTGGAAACCAATACTTTGTACAGGGTCAGAGCATTCTTCAAAACTACGATCGGACACAATAGTAGCATGTCCCCTGTAGTCAGCATTGGAACAGTGCCTAAAGGTAAGAGATATCATTACATCAAACACCGACCACGAACAGGGGTGAAGAATTTTGTGAGATTCGTGTTGTACCTCGCACATTCCTTTTTGCATGGTCTCTTTCCCCAAATGACGTTCCTATGTCAATTGCATGATTCTCAGGTCAAGCATTGCGGAATCAGGTTAGGGATTAGTTACCCGTGTGCCCAATTCATTTGGTTGATGGTGCAGTGATCAAAGGGAAGAAGTTAAGAAATGAAAAAAACATTTCTTCTCAATTATCCCATGGGAGATTTCCTTCTCCACAAATATGCATTGGAATATTAACAGGCCTTTTTAATGCAGACCGCAAATACTATGTAACGTATGAACAATTTACTGATACATACGTGATCTGAATATGTTTTTATTAGCGCCAACATCGCCTGACAATTACGTCCTCTCAAGTACTACCATCACTGTCTTTATAGGCCGGACAGAAGGCAAAAACCTTCCCATACTCCAGTATTGTGTGTACGGAAGGCCTGCAAATGATATGTCTGGGAATATGACATCGATACCAGTGTGCAACGCGTCTGAAAATGTTACCTTGATTGGCCTGGCTCCAGGCATGACCTATAATGTCACCACCTATGTAAGCAATGCCTATGGAGACAGTGCTCAATCGACCTCCACTCGCATCACCACGTTGCATCAAGGTTGGCACATTTGTTGCACATGTGTAGCCTCGAGTTGGCATGAATTTAACCCCTCAATAGATGGTGGAACGTTTCGTTCGAATCGTTCAAAACCCAAGAACGTTACCGATTCTCCTCCTTCATACGTCTTGCTGTTCTCATATATCAATTGAGTTAACTTCTCTTTATGATTCTACCTGTAACAGATTGGATTTTATGGTTACTCTATAACACGTTATGTTCGGTGGAACTGTATTTTCGGTATTTCCGTTAGGGGAATCTGGCAACTAAAAAGGTACTAGAATAGTCACTGTATGTAAAGAAAATGTTGGTCACCTACATCTACATTTCACCAGAAAACGATATGGTTCCTCGCACCAAAAATACTTATTAGATTATATGTTGTCCAGAATCTGTTCTTGGTGATGTTTTCCCTTTTTTCATAGCACCAACAACTGATCAAGTCGACGCAACCAGTGGCTACCAAGCTAGCGCAAGCGGCTCCAAATCTGCAGCGATAATTGCGGGAGGGTCTGGCGCAGGACTGCTGGTGCTGGCTGCGACGGTTTTCCTGCTATGGAAATTAAAGTTGACACCCGCGAAACCTGATCCTGGTACGTAAAGTCCAAATTTGAAGCTTCTGAATAGTAATAGGGTTCCTTTTCCTTCTTTTCTCTGGAAAAAAGCGAAATTGATACATTCAGAGGTTTCAAAACTTTACCAAATGGTACTACGGCATTCATCTTACAATTCCAAGAGTGATGTTCTGGACACGTTTCTTAGAAATACTTTACCATCGAAAAATGATAACGTTACCGCTTCAGTCTGGCCTCTCTAACTCGAAATTCCTGTGTGGAAAAATAATACATGCATTCCTACAGGCCTCAGTGCATTGTGCATCATGGGCAGATACCATCATAAACTTTATATACATCATCGATCATGAAAATAATGTCTCGCGATATATTGCTTAAATAGATTTTTGGTTGGAGGAAAGCAAATACGCACACGAAGAACAGAAGCCATATTATTATTTGTAATAGCACTTGAAAAATAGCGCTAGTGGCGCCAACAGCATATTTAGCGGTCAGAGCATAGACCAAATAGCACTTTAAAGACAGCGCTAGTGGCGCCAAGTACACAGTGAGACAATGAATATTACCAGTATCAGACAACAGTGGGGACAACGGTACTACAATGTCAAAACAGTGACAACTTTCGCACATACTTCTTTTGCACGCACAGTTCAGGCTTCAGCTTGGCAATGTACATTGCCTCCAGCACAGCAAGGTGGGATTTGTAGCGCGCACTCGCTTGAATGGTAAAGTGAGAGTGGGTGCCACTAGCGCTATTTTTCAGGTGCCATTTTTGTCAATGCTCTGCCCGCCAAAAGTGCCGGTTATAAGGACTTGCTTACTACCTTGTCAATCATCATTGTATTCGACCTGAAGAGTAATGGAATGAAAGGCCTAGTCGAAAACATTATATGGCTTCTGTGCTTCGTGTGCTGATCTATTGTTTACCGCTGGCAACTGGGCATCATGTGTGCTTGTAGAACTCAATCACACCCCCAGAAGTCCATATTTAGCACTATAGACCTGCCCTTCATCTTACACACTTATACATTCGGAAGTGTGCATGATTTTCAGAAAGTTGAGGTTAACCGTACAACGGGAGTGAAAACATGCAACTCTATTTGCATTACCGAAAGGTGACACAAAGTTCATAGTTGGTATCTCATCCACGTATCCATCGTTCTGACAATATTATGTTTTCCTCTTTCAGTGCTGACTACCTGCCAACTGGACGTAAGAACTCAATCTGTTTCCCATGATGATGAACTTGATTTGGTTCAGAACACGCGCACTAGTATGGAAACCAATGAGGCGTACGAGAGCTGGATCCTGGCTAGGAATGATGCATATGGCTGTGTGGATTTGCGCGAGAATGATGTTCTTCGTGCCGGATGCGGAGCTGGGCGTGCAGAGGAAGGGGGGCCGGCCACAGAAGAACAGCATACTTATGTCAGCATCCAATAACGCCAAATGTTTTTCACAATTTTGACCGACTGATACATATCCTCAACGAAATGCAAATGATACAGTAGCATTTAACTCTGTTGTTGAGCCAATAGTAATATGTAAAGCGAAAAAGGACCTTTAAGTTACTAGCTATGACTAACAGTCCACAAAGGTACAGAGATAATATAAAGCCAGGTAAAGTGTCAGATCAGTGTCATGTCGTTAAATGTCTCAATATACTTGTCAGTCTTGTGCCGTGCTGTCTCACTATCTGATGTTATAATTATTAACTCGTTACCTTGGCGGACAGTTAATTATAACTAGTAACTTATAGGGCCTTTTTTCTCTTTGCACAAAACTGTATCATGGTATACTTTTTCATGGCAAGCACGCGATATGTTGCAGTCTTTCTGAGTTTTTTCTTCATATCTCTCTGCCTCTAACTCCAGTAGCGCATGCATTTATCACTGATATACTCTCAAATAGTTCATTGCAGCTCTTGTGTCCTGATGTCACGCATCAGTATGGATATCATTTGTAACTTTCACAAGTAAGTTCAGTGCTAAACCGTTCGGAGCGAGGTTTTTGAAGTAATTTGCTATACATGTATGTTGACGGTGATTCGTAACCGAATCTCAATATCTTTATCACCGGAAGAATTACCATTGACATTATATATCCCACCTGTGCATTTAATCCCTGTCAGTAAATCCATTGCATAGCAGAAAATTGCAGCTCGTTCGTTATAAACTTGCAGCAGGTGTATTTTTTTTGCTTATTTTTATGATTCAAAAGTCGCTAGAATTTTATTCACACTATGTTTCTTTTTGGTAGCACTTCTCTCTAAATTTCGTATGCATAATCAGTATATCCGTTCACTGTGGTTATGGATTGTTTTATAAACATGTGCATAACAGTAGTGGTACTAGTGACGTGGATGGTATGAATATTGAGAACGTGTTCGGGGCACTTCTCTCTGGTTTCCTCAGCCCTTATCTGACCCAGCTAGTGTTACCAAATTCCTATGTATAGTATCGGAATTTTGTACTCAGGAAAATGTGAGGACCACTTTCCTAGGGAGCATGTGTCTTGCATCAACTCCTACGAAATATCACTGGCCCAGAGCTGTATGTGAGAAGTGCGAGTCTTCTTTGCCCACCATTCAAAATGGAGATTGTTTCGGCTTTGAGTTATCAGGATCATTTCCAGGTATGCATGCATTATCCAGCAGCACTCGGTCGAAGGCTGGAGATTGGCACCCATCCGACTAGCATCCAGCTGGCAAATGTGGCGACATGATACGGATATTCAATAATGATTGTAGGTAAACAACAGAGAACCACACAAACCTTTTATTTTAATTTTTATTATTTTTATATTTCACGATGTCGTGACGCCAAGACGATTGATTAGTGTGATAAAAATGGTAGCGGTGATCACTTGTCACTCCAAACCACAACCCCAAAAGTATGATGGGGGACATTTCCTCAGTGCTAGAAGAGGTGTTTTTTCTATCTCTCGGTGTATAGTGTTTGCTGATTGAGGACGTAGCTCGCTGTTTTATCAGCGCTTGTAATTTGGCTATTTTCAAGACGATCATTTGTGGCGTCAAGGGATTATTGCCCTCGTCTTCTGGGATGCTAGCGTGGCTAAGTAGTGCTGCCCCAAGAACTCTTCTAAGATGAGGTAATGTTGGCTTGATGGAGCTTGTTCTTCTACGCTGTGCCGTGGCAAGTTTGTAAACCCATACATCGTGCCCATAGTGGGCCAATATGGAGGGGCATGCCAATACAATGGTTCGCTTCAAAAGATTTTGCGCGGGCTTTGAAATGTCCATCTACATCCCAAAGGAAGCCTACCTGCATAATTTGAGCGAAATCTGAGAGATCTACTTGCACATGTGTTCTGCTTTTCGCAGACATGCTCTCTTAAGAGAGCATGTCTGAGAATACCAAAGTATGTGTGCAAGTGGATCTCTCCGATTTCGCTCAAAATTTGCAGGTAGGTTCCCTTTGGGGTGTGGATCGATTGTGCAAAGCCCTTGAAAAGTTTGTGAAGGGAACCTTGAAACTTGCATACCGCTCAAAAATGGCCGAAATATCACATTATTTATGGGTCTAGAAACGAGTCACGCCCCAGCGTATACGAACAAGCTATGAACAAAACTCCATCAAGCCAACATTGCCTCACCTTAGAAGAGTTGTTGCAGCAGTACCGCTTAGCCACGCCAGCATCCCAGAAGACGAGGTCCATCACCCCCTGACGCCCCAAATGATTGTCTTGAAAATAGCCAATTTACAAGCGCTGGCAAAACAGCCAGGTCCGTCCTCAATTCGCCAGAACTATACACCGGCAGATAGTAGAACACCTCTTCTAGCGGTGAGGACATGTCCCCCATCTTCCTTTTGGGGTTTTCTTGAAATAAACTTTTTTGAATTTTTCCACTCGACCATGCTGAAATACGGCCAAAATCATACCTGCGCAGGAAAGCTCGCCCCTCCACGTCGTCTCCTCAGCAATTTCTACTCCAACACTACTCCCAAGGCCGCAGCACAAAGTGTAGTGTTGACTCTGACAAGGAAAAGCAGCGGTGATCACTTGTCACTCCAAACGACAAGCTTCTCCTTGCGCCACCAATAATTTTTTGCGCGACTGTTGATGCAAAAGTGACTGAAGGCCTGAGCGTAGTTTTTGAATTTTATTGCAAGATGCACAGTGAAATCACGTGCCTTGTGACGCAAGAATGCCAAGTCGCGTGGCCCACGGCTCACAAGATTTCAGAGTCACCTTTGTCAAGTGCGATTGTTAGTAGATCTACTCGCCTTGAACGACCGTTGGTCTGGAATAGTCCTTGAGCCAAAACTCAAAATCACAAGTGCCGTTGCACTCTCGGATGGACAAATCGCCGCTTACAGTGTTGGTCAAGGACATCACAAAGGATACGTTTTCGCTTGTTGGACGTTCCAGAACAGATCCAGAGACCTTCGCGAGGGCTTCTTTTCTCGACCAAATTCCACCGTGAGAACAAATATTTTTACGCGAGTGGTGAGGTGTGCGTCGTATGAACAAGCGCAAAACACGAGTTCGCGTGGAGTGAGGAAAAATAATTTATTTTTTAGAAGATGACGACGTTGACGACAATATCGACTTGGGATATTGTGATCACTTTATTGAAGTTTATTCCTTTCGTGTACATTGATGTTGTTTTGCAAACAATGGAAGAAGAGTAAGACGTTTCTAGTGGCAGCGAGGTGCTGGATGAGGCAGCTGACGGCAACGAAGTGGCAAATGACAGCCCAGCGGAGTAATATTGCTGGAATTTTGTGTCGGCGTGTCACAGCGCCCAATTTAGTAAAAACGAGAAGCCTGCACTGAGTAATATCGAGACTACAAGTTGGTGTCGCATCGTCAGCGCTGCTCGAGAGAAGGACGACCATATCTAGGCTTTTCTCTGCCAGCACAAGAGCTCAGGGAGGAAAAAAATGGTGTGGCTGGTTTCATGGAAAGTGCTACACCAATTGCACCCATGTGATAGCAATTGCAAACCTGGAGAAGACCAGTGCCTCTGATTTTGCTTTGTCTATACTTGCTGACAGTGATGTGCATGTAGTAGTGAACCCAGAGCCACATTCTAAGGCCAGTAAGGGGCCACCTACCAGGAGCTTAGTGGTTGATACGAACAACGAATGCCATACCGGTAATTATGAAAGCAGAGCACGGTGTAAACACAACACGGAGAACTTGTCCACCCAGAGTTTCCGGAAGGGAGTGTTTTGTTGCAGGCAGCACTGGAGAGGGCAAGACGACAAGTAGCAAGGGCGAAACCAGCGCTGCTGGAGGTCCAAGCCAGAGCACCTGGCTGCTTTGCGGGCAACATACTACTGTATACCATTAGCTGTGTATGTGTGTGTGTGTGTGTGCACGTGTTTGTGTGCACATTTCTGGGTGTGCGTGTGTTTGTGTGTGTGCGCGTGCGCGTACGTGTGTGCGAGCGTGCATGTGTGCGCGTTTTTGTGTGTGTGCGTGTGCATGTGCGCGTGTGCATGTGTGTGTGCGTGCGCGTGCATGTGTGTGTGCGAGTGTGCATGTGTGTGCGAGCGTGCATGTGCATGCTAGGCGTTTTCCTTTGTTGGTGACACCACCCCAGGCTACTACTGGTGTTGGGGCACGGTGTTGCCACAGCCACTGCGGCCAGTGCGATCCGTGTTTCAGGTCGTTGGTGGGTTTTAGATTCCGCAATTGTCGACAAGGTGTGCGCCATGTGTGTGTGTGTGTGTGTGTGTGTGTGTGTGTGTGTGTGTGTGTGTGTGTGTGTGTGTGTGTGTGTGTGAAACCCGACAGCATTGGTGTGATGTTGTCCGAAGAGACATCCATCACTTACATCTTGAAGGACATTGGTTCGACACTGCATAGCAGCGAGGAGAGTGGCGCACAGCATTCAGAATTGCTTCACCACCACAGCCGGCCTCCCGTGATCGGATTCAGTGTAGTATTTGTAACATTTCCTTTTCGAAGAGCGGCCTGCCATGCCACAAGTGTACTCAAGAGCGTCGCAAACCTGTAGCAGACCAGTCTGGCAGCAGCCAATGAACCGTATGTCTTCGCTGGTTTCGCAGTCATGGCAGACTGACATAGTCGGATTCGACAGCTGGTTCATGTGTGTGTGCGCGCACACACGTGTGCAGGTAGGTTTGCTTTGGGGTGTAGATCGACATTCCAAAGCCACCGCAAAATCCTTTGAAGGGAACTATGAAATTGGCATACCCCTCAATATTGGCCCAATATTGGCACGATTTATGTGTCTACAAACGAGCCACGGCACAGCGTACAAGAACAAGCTACGAACAAAACTCCATCAAGCCAACATTACCTCACCTTAGAAGAGTTCTTGGGGAAGCACCACTTAGCCACGCCAGCATCCCAGAAGACGAGGGCAATCATCCCTTGACGCTCCATAGCTGGCTATCTTCTTATCTTGACGGCCGTTCACTCCAGTGCTTAGTCGGCGGTCAGATTTCTTCTCTCTAACCAATCTCTGCAGGGGTGCCCCAAGGCAGTATTTTGGGCCCTACGCTGTTTCTAATATACGTGAATGACTCTGCCGATGTTCTTAATGGCAATGCTCAGCTTGAGGCCTACGCGGACGATACGACACTATACAGTCTAGTATCCTCAGCTCAGTGCCCTCGGGACGCTGCACACTCCTTGCAGGTATCTACAAACCGCCTGCATGAGTGAGGTTGCCAATGGAAAGTGTCTTTCGAGCCCATCAAGTCACAGGCTATGACTGCTACCCTCCGACGCACTGACCTAGACCTGCCCCAAATCCTGTTTGGTGGTACCCCTGTACCGGAGGAAACCAGCATATCACTGCTCGGTGTTCGATTTGACTCCAAATTGTCCTTCGCTAGTCACCTCAGGACCGTGACCATCCGCGCCCAGCAGCGCCTCGGCTTTCTCCGACGAGCGGGCCACATTTTAACGCCAGCTGGCCGAACGACTGTCTACAAGGCATTCGTGAGGCCCCTGATGGAGTATGCCCCCTTGTGTGGATGGGTGCGCCAGCCAGCCACATCCAACGTCTGGATAATGTTCAACGCCGCGCACTGCGCATCATTGGCCCTGGTGCAATTCTCCCCAGCTTGGCTGTCCGCCGGACTGTTGCTGCTCTCTCGTGTATGTACAAATTGCATTTCATCACTCGTCCTCCTCAGCTACTTGCTGTATTGCCACTGCATCGCGTTTCTCCAGCCAACCCCAGAACCAGGAACCAGCACAATAATGCCACTACAGAATTGTTGCTGTGCTATCGTGACTTTTTTTAAAGCAATGTGTCTCTTTCATTCAGCAGTTACCTTTATTACTGTCTCCCAGCCGAGGTCACACACACACACACACACACTTGTTCCAGCAATACAGTTATGGTAACAAG